TGCCTTTTAAAGATAATCTCAAAACAAACTATCAAAAAATCATCAGCTGAAGGATCCTTTTGATTATACTGGCCATAATAGCTTATTTTACAGAACACTTGAAGCATGCTTTGCCTCATCTGAAACCCATCCACTTCTCGCCACTTCACTGCTGTGATTGTCTGGAATATAAAACAGGTTATTCTACCATATACACTTCAAAACTCAAGCAGGGAAAATAAGCACAGTATTGGCGCTTAATTGTAGACCATTTTTGTTTTACAAGAGTTTGTGGTTATGGTGAGAATCCCACCCAGGAGTGCACTTACTGTATGGCTCAGGCATTCAGAAGTGGAGGGGGATATTTGGAGGTAAGGTAGGAATGTTCAATAACCTGTGGTGAAAAGTTGCCGTTGCCCTTTTGTTGACAGCCGTGTAGTTTTTGTCCATCATCAACATTATCTTTGGTGTTAGGGCTGACAAATCTTCAGAAAGGTGTTATATTCGTTTCTTAGAGTATACGTGATCTTTTCAAGAGGAATGCAGATGTTCATTTAAAAAAAAAAAACCAAACAAACCTGGCAATGGGAAGATGGGAATCAGACTTCCATGTCACCGCTATGCACTTCCTGGTAATGCTCAAAGCTATTTCCAAAAACCTCTTTTGGAAGCTCCGTAAAAGAAGCTGTCTAGAAGAAAAGAAGTGGGTCCAATGGAAAAGAAAATCCTCCAAGTTTTGTCATGACTTAACTAAAGTTGTGCCAAAATGTATCGGGCTTTGTGTTTATGGATTTTTTTTACCATTTTTAAGCAACACAACATTAGTTCTTGATGGTTATCTCCTGCTACTTGACTGGATGCTGTTGGAATGGTTCAAACAAAATGGATTTTGGAAGTGTTCACTTGCTTCGAATGAGCAATGTTAATGTTAGCTGATTCAGGAAATGAAGGGAAATAAATTGATCTGTGTCACACATTTTAAATACCAATAATCTCTGGGCTTGAGGGAAGGTATCAAGTATTTTTGAGTCAAAAGGCTCAAGTCCAAGTGAAGACATGAGTTACTGCTGTTAACGTTTGAGTCTAAAGTCATCAAATTTGTGACACCAGGCTGACTCAATTTCAAGTCATAGGACCCGAATCCACACCTCTGATACAAATTATGTTTCAAAAGAAAAAGTACTCATTCTGCAAGTTGTTAATATTGACACATTAATACATAAGTAGGACTTGACTGTTGTAGTTCAGGGAGGAAAGAAGAATTCTGATACATACATTTGTAATAGTACAGTACAGTTGTATTAGTAATTGTATCGTTGAAATCAGGCACTTGGGCAGTGACTTGAGGCTTCAGACACTGACAAAAGAAAAGCCGTCCTTTAACATCTGCATGATATTCAGCTGGCCACCGTAACAGTTTGACAACGGTAAATTTCCTGTGAAAACGGAAGTGTATTTTGCAAGAAGACAGTGCATGTAACAGTCAGAACTTGACACAGCATCCCAGAACGTTAACAACCAATGCACCCAGGGTACCTCGCACATTGTATCTGGAAGCAGGAAGTCCAGCTGTCTATGTGATGAGGTTGGAGTGAGAATGTGTTGAATATTTGAAAATGCATTGTATTTTATGAGCTTATCGAATGTTTTTAAATTCTAAATCTGAAAAAGGATTGGTAACTGTAGCTGTCAAATAAAAGTAGTGAAATAAAAAGTAGAAAATTTCCCTCTGAACTGTAGCAGAGCTCAAGTATAAAGTAGCAGAAAATAGAAATGATTCAAGTCGTAGCACCTTTAAAATTAGACTTAAGTAATTGCACTTAGCTTTGTTCCCACGGCCAACGACTAATTTAACAGACAGACTTTTGAATCTGTCTGCTGTTGTTTTGCTGCCTTGTGTTAATTTTAGGAGATGCAACTAAATAATCACACAGGAGGTAGGAACTTCTAGCTCATGCATTTTTTAACTGGGCTGGCCTGGCGGCTCGCTGCAGATGAGGACCAACCATGGTCAGGGGAGACATACCAAAGCCCTGAGCTCAGCCCAAGTGCAGCAGTCTTACAATATGTCAGCAGTGTTATTTTTACAGGGTCATATTAGAAAACCAAACGGATCTGCATCTGCCCCACAAGGGCATTCCTTCATTGCTGACCCTGAACAAACCCACAACCTCTTGTCCTCCTGCTCTTGCATCAGCTTGTTACAAGCCCCCGATTTCCAAAGTAGTATTTACCCCTGTCGTAGCTCACCAGGCATTTCACTTGTAATGATAAATACTCCCATGAATTAAACAGCAAGGAGCCAAGTAAGTCAGGACACAGACATTTTACCCGTAAATCCTGCCTGCTGTCTGTGTTTGCTTAGTTAAACACGTTAGTGGGTGATTGAACCAGCTGGGCCTTGGGCTGAAACCTTCACAGGAATCAGGATCATTAGCCATCAGACTGATAAACAAGCCTGTGACATAATGTGGAAACACTGATCCCATTCATAGGTTGAATCACCCGCAAAACATTCTGCATGTCGGGCAAATCTCACATATATAAAACAAATTCCTCGTGGTTGGTGAGGGGATAGTGAGCTGCCATGGGGGGAAAATAGACGTTTAGTGGAATATCACTCTCTGTCCTGAGGCTTCTTCTCACATCCACAAAGAGTTGGGAGTCTGGGTGAGATTAGAGGACTGGTGCCATTGCGGCTTTGTCTTTGTCTATCCACTACCCAAAATATCATGTCAGGAAGTGGAAAGTCTTTTCCCCCAGAGTGGAGTGATGACCCCCTCATTGTCCAAGTTCCTGCAGCACTTTTTTCCTCTGAAAATGAAGGAAAAAAAAGTGTGTGAGAAGTTTTTAATGTCACGGAGCTTCTGTGTAATCTCCGTTAGGTCTATTGGTCTGGACGTAAATCAAAACAAGGGTCTGGAACCCCAACGGAAACATGCAATAAATGTCCATGTTGGAAAAACATAAACTTGTTACCAATTAGTGTTAACTGTGCGCTTTGGCAAATGCAGGCCTTCATTATAATGACCAAAATAATTTGGTGTTTGAACAGTGCAGCCAAAACATATTAAGTCAGCAGCACTGTGATGACCCTCGCTTGTTCTGAAGAGCATCCTGTGCCAAGCCTGGCTTGTACACAACTCCTTAATGGCAGATACCAATTATACTGGTCTTCTACTTTGATGAATATAATTAAACCCACTTCCCTTCACCAGTAAGCCCTGTAATGCAACTTTTGTGGTCTTGAATATTTAAAGCCAAATTAAATATTGCAGAGCTTTGAACTTTAATGACATGAGGTTATTAAATAAGGAACGATATTAAGGAAACTGGATGGTGACGTCCTTCAAATGTTATTCTATTTCCATCCATTTATTATTTCTTAAATTATTCATTCACATAATACCAGTGGTGGAAGAAGTATTTGGATCCTTAAAGTAAAAGTACCATAAATAAAAATATTCCACATAAAGGCACAAGAAAAGGTCCTGCATGAAAACCTTACTTAACTAGAAGTATAGTAGGCCCTACAGCAAAAATGAGAATGTAATATGTTTCTTTATATATAACAATAATGGAAAAATGTGCATAAACCAGTGAGATGCATTTTAATGTTGTAGCTGGTGAAGATGAAACAAATTTAAACTACTGTGGAGCAGTTAAATCCATAATAATCACTCATATTTTACAAACTCACAATATGTTTTGTTTGTAAAATCTCAATCTGCAAAGTAACTAGACAAGCAGTCAATGTGACATAAAACATACAGCTTTTTCCTGTGAAATGTGCAGCAACATACTGAAAAACTCAAGTTAAGTGCAAATATTTTAATACTTGAGTAAATGTACTTAGTTACTGTCCACAGTTAAATGATACTTATAGTATGATTCCGCAGTCAGAGGCTCAGACAAGGCTCTGCAACAACCTGGCTGAGAGTATGAGGCTGTCTGAGTCACTGTCTTCATTTAAGTCTCTCCTAAAAACGTACTTCTATTGGAAACCACATCCATATTTTTTTTCTGAGTTGTCTATTTTATTGCTATCTTATTGATTTTAATTCAGATTTATGGGTGAATTCTGGGTGACTGGGACAGAAGGTCAAATGGGGACAGTGTAACTAAACAGCATTTATTTTCTCGCCTTACGAGTGACAAAAAAACATTTATTTTCTAACGCCATAGTTGTGAAACCACATAATTAAATTGCATTTATTTTGACCTTAAGTATTGTTATCACCTCGAACATTTTTGTTTAACCCAATTAAATGCGTTCAATGAATTTTGGACTTTAAGGATTTTTTTTTTTTACCTCAATTAAATGTGTTCAATGAAATTTGGTGGGAGAGAATTAAGGGAGGATGTTGAATGGAGAGGGTTTTTCTGACAGTGAGGAAAGGCAGCTTTATATTGTATGACTTGTGAATGGATTTTAGCAGTAAAGTTAAACAGAAACATACATAGAGTCTTAATTCACTGTGATAGGATTTGGATCAGTTTACACAAAAGCGTCTGTCACACTTTTGGGGAGGACATTCAAAAACTGTCCCAATCACCCTTAATTCACCCTACCTTCATTTTAGTTTTAGCCTTTTACTTTGGTGAGACGTTATGACATTTTAGTTTGCTTCATTCTCCTTGTGTTTTAAATGTGTTTTAGTTTTATTTTAAAGCACTTTGTAACTGTGTTTTGAAAGGTGCAATATAAATAAAGTTTATTAGTATTATCACATCAGCAGTGTGCAACAAGATGCTGCTCCTATCAAATAACATTTCTTCATGAGTGCAACAGCACCATCTACTGTTTGTTGCGTGGTACTACAACACGTAGCATTAAATTCACAGCATTTTATCAACCGAGAAAATCAGTATTTTTTATTCCGTTTCTTGTCAAATTATACAGAATAATTTAAGGATTTTTTTAAAGGTGAGTATTTGCCCGATATATCACCCCAAAGATATTTTTTATGTGAGTTGAGTTGCGAATCTGCGGACCGGAAATGTAAATGACACGGCAGGAACCCACATGTTCAGCTACCGGGGAAACACTAGAGCTGAAGCAGCAGGGAGGTTCCAGTGTACAGCTCATTAAAGCCCTACATTTACCCTCTCTAACTAAAATATTCAGCTTTATCACACCGAGGGACATTTCTCAAAATGTCTTCGTTCAGGAAAGCGTTGAAATCCCGACAGAAAAACCACCATGAAAGATCTCAGGTGAGCGTTTCAGTGTTTTGCTGCTAGCTTGTTAGCTTGCTAGCCTGCAGATATGTTATGTTATGAAGCGCCCTGTGCACTTTTTAAGATGTCTCCATATGGTCACCAAGCTAATAAATATAATGCTATGTTCCTGTGACACCCGCAGCAATAAATGATAATATTGTATGTGTCATTTTGTTTGACCAGCCTGGTTTCAGGAAACATCTGGGGTTGCTGGAGAAGAAGAAAGACTACAAACTCCGTGCAGAGTGAGTTAACACAAGTTTAAGAGACATGTTTTATGTCTTTTAAGGCTTTGGATTCAAAAGCATACACCTTTTAATGTGAAACATCTTTGAGGAATACGTCTTGTAATAGCTTATGTTGTCACTTATGTTGTTTTATAGTGATTATCACAAGAAACAAAACACTCTTGCTGCTCTGCGAAAGAAAGCTCTGGATAAGAACCCAGATGAGTTTTACTACAAGATGATCAACGCCCAGCTGCAGGTAAGAGGAGCATCATCATCAAAGCAGCAAGACAGAGAAAATGAAATACTCTAGTTAAATCGTCTTATCTGATCTCTGGTTCTAACACTTGACATGTGTGGCTTATTTTGTGGCATGGTGACAGGATGGCGTTCACGTAGCAAAGAAAGGCACTGAGGACGTGGAGATGACAGAGGAGCAGAAGAAAGTGATGAGGACGCAGGATATCAAATATGTGGAGATGAAAAGGGTTGCAGAGGCCAAGGTAAGCTTATTTTGTAACATGTAATACATCATGTATCACTCAATTTTTTCCCTGATGTAAGTTATCTTACATTTTGAATAAAAGAGCACAACAAAAATGGATTTGATTATGCACGCAAAACTCAATCACAGATGTGTTACAGCCATTATTCTCCACAAATAGGGTGTCAGTGGTTGCCCCTTGTAAATTATTGTGCCTTTTATCATTTGCTTTCAGAAAATTGAGAGGCTGAAAGGAGAGCTTCATCTTCTAGACGCGGGCAGAAAACAAAAAAACAAGCATACATTCTTTGTGGATTCCAAGAAGGATGGTAAATAAAACCATACAGCAGTAAATCAGGATGTGAACAAACATCCTTGTCTTTGTGGGTTTTTAATAATTATTTGGTTACTTGAAAAGTTACAACTAAAATTTACTGTGTCTCCTCAGTGGAGTCATTCGACCTGGCGAAACACCTGGACACAGCTCCTGAGCTGGTGGACAGAGTGTACAACAGACCAACGCTCACAACTCTGGAGACGAAGAGCGTCCAGGGAGCTGTGGATCCTCACAATGTGAAGGTCTGTGTTTGTCATGCATGTAGATCAGCCTCTTTTGTGGTGTGACCATCACAAAAAAATGCTTCATTTACATTTTGGTGAATAAATGTTCAGTTTCAGCTGCATTTTAACCACTGCTGGTTCTTGTTTTCTCCTCACTCCTAACTGCAGAAGTTGGCCAAGCAGAGGAACCATCAGTATAAGATCCTTTCCCAGAGGATTGACAGAGAAAAAAAAATGTTTGTGATCACACAGAAGATTCAGACCCGCAAGGACCTACAGGTGATGAGAAGGAGGCAAGCATTTTGGTTTCAGTTGCAAATGAGTGTCAAGCTGTCAAATTAACAGCAAGATCTTTTTTTTAACTCTGTGCACCAGGATAAGAACAAGAAAGTGAAGGTAAAAAAGGAGACAACCAGTGCTGCAGCTATCTACAAGTTTGAGGCCAAGAGGAAACGCTGAGCGGGGTGTAATCACCAATTTTGCCAACAAGATACTGGTGAAATAATGGACTTGTAGACAATGGGATGATTCTCATTTCCTCAGATGTTGCTCCAGCTACACAGTTTTGTACATATTTATCTACAATTTTTAGTTTCTTTCAAATAAATATCAGAATTACACACATTTTTGTGTTTTTTTTTAAGCTAATACAACTTGTGGTTGACCTCGTTTTGGGACAGTAGAGTTTTTATGGGTTTTGATGCATATGGAGAGATTTGCCTGATAGGCATCAAAGACAACGACATGATTAGTAAAAGAGGCATCTGGCTGAATTTGAGCTGAGGATGTCATATGTGCTCCAGTCAGCTGAGCCATCTGACTTGTGGCAGTGGATTGTATTTTGTTCTTGTACCAGTAGGTGGCATTAGTGTCCTTTATACAACTATCTGGGAGACAAAAACTGTTGGTGGCTGGAGACATTGGGACATCCACAGAGAGCAGCCTGAGCAGACAGTCAGTGACACAACATTTTGACATTTAGACTTCAGAGTTTAATTGTGGTTGTGATGTTGTATGTAAGATGTCAGTGATGTCTTCTGTCTGTGTAGCAAATGGTTCTCAAGTAGGTTTTGGGCTCTCTAGTTTAGAACAGAGGAGTTGAACCCCCTAATATCCAATTCAAACCTGTCATATTTACCATGATGTTCAGTTTCAAAGCCTTCTCTTAAAACAGCTAAGAAATACATTGTTTGACAGATTTTAAAAGACACAACTCCAACATCCCTCAGTATCCTACAGCTCATTGTAAGGTTGCATTCAGGTTGTTCTCATCAACCAGGTACTGTAAAACTTCAATGAAAAGCCTAGCCCTAATTAAATGCCCAGTCCCTTCTACTAGCACATTTTCACAAATAAAGGCCCATCTTAATTCGACGCCTGGTCTGGTTGCCAAGCAGTTAAGTTTTACAGAAGTTGTTGGATGTATAAAACCAGGTTATTGGCTACCCATTTGAGTTAGCTGATTCAATCAAGCATACAAAACAGTGACGCGGTCATAAAATCAGAATATATGTCCATTCCTTGATTACCAAGTAAAGTCATTCATATTCCTTTAGTCCGTAAGCGTCCATGGATCAAAAGACTCAAGTGCTTTTCATAAATATTAACCCAAGTGAGCATTATTTTAACAGGATAAAGTGGTGCTATGTTGGTATACTGGGTGCCATAACCCTTGGCTGCCGTGAAACAATTGTGGTAACTCTGATGCTCTGTCTGTTGCAGCTACATCAAGTTAATGATTCATAATGAATATGTTTTTTGAAGCCTAATTTTTAAACAAGTAATACTCAAACTGGTTTAAATAATCAATTTGACTGTATTTCCCATCTTTGCCAAGCCTGTTGATTTCAGAGATTTAAGCAAATAATAGCCGGGTAACTAACTGAGGTTGTACGTTAAGAAAGTATCACGTCTGTGCTATAATTATCAGGTATTTGCATTAATGTCATTATCAGTCATTAGTAAAAGACGAGAACCAATTACTTGTCTCACTGGTCACTTGAGTTTAACTTTGTGGTGATAAACTTGGAAATATCTGACTTAGCATTTCACAAGAAGAGCACAAATACACCGTTTGCTCTTGTGTCTGTGAGGCTGGACCTTAAGTCCTCAGAGCCTCTGCAGGACACACCTTTGTCGCAGCCCTCAGGATGCAGCACCTACAGATCCTTCTCACATGTCACAGCAGGCGAGACACAGCTGCAGCTAATAAAATTAAGTGTGATGTAGGTGTCAGTTAGCATGCATTGATAATAATAATACTATTGTCCATGCTTGCTCATTAGCTGACTTTAATCAAAATTACCCATTATTCATTTTATTAGCTGCAGCTGTGCTTATGCAAAAATACCTCCGTTAAAAGGCTCCCTTGAGAGACAAATGTAACTATTGTTACAGCTACACCTGTTCATACAGTTGAATCTCATCCACTGGGCTATCTTGATGTGACGCTGCCTTGCAGTTGTCACAGGTCATCAGATATCCCCATATATATTAACCAAATCAATGCCCATACTCCTGGGCCTTTTAATGGCAGATATTTTGGCTTGTCATGGTGGGAAAAGCAAAGGTGTTCTTCTGTTACAATCAGGTGTCTAGTAAGCCCAGACAGTGAGCCAGCATGCACAATACCAGCGCCCAGCAACCAGATGGAAACCAGCCATCACTAATTTAATTAATTACACCTGCGCTTTTCATACTGTGAAATGTCAAAATGTCTTCCCTGATAAAGGCATGTGAGGGCTGTCATTTTCCATGTCTTCCTCACATCTTTCTGCTCTCACGAGACAATCCAGCTCATACAGGCGCCATCGTCTTTGGCTAATTAGACCTCTCTGTAAAGTGTGATCAGTTTGCCTGAGTGCCACGGTGGAGCGGGGATTAGCTCTGATGTCTCATTGTAAAAAGATTCCTGGTTTCACTGCCACTAAGGCCAACTCCTCTGTTGATCATCCTGCCATCTGTCTCTGCCAAGTCCCTGAAGTCGGTTGAGTCAAGTACTTCATGTACTGAGGCACCAGGTGAGGCGAGTACACTTAAATTTTCCTCACAACATGTTTCCTCTTCTAGTTCTTTATAGTGCTGTCTCTCTCTATCAGCCTCTCTGTGGTCATGTATGTGCGTGTACTAACAAACTGTATGTGCGGTTCTTCCGGCCTACAGTGTGAAGCAGACTGAAGACCTGGCGCCCAGCAGCACATCACAGTGACCCGGCTTTGATTGATCACTGTGGTGGCAGCAGCTTCATAAACAGGGCTCATCCATCAGCCTCTCCTGGGAGCCACTGGAGGGGAAGAGGGGAAGAGGGAGCCAGGCAGAAATGTCACTAGGTGCAGTGAGAGGTGGAGGGGCCGGTGGAGAGGGACCAGAGGCCTTGGCCCAAACACTGCTGACCAGAGCAAAGGTGAGCCAACACCACATGATGGGCCAAAAGAGGGAAAGAGTGATGGTGTGTCCACTTGGACTGGTTGCTCTTTCATTTAAAACTCAATACAGAGCCAACAGCAGTTTCCTCATTATAGTACAAATGTTGATTAGGGTGTTTTTAAATTAAAAAAATATGTATACACATGTAGCAAACAGCCCATTCATGGATGTGTGGATTTCACTTCACTACACAAGCACGCACAAAGTCCTTCAGTGGCATTTCTGTGTGACCATTGATGTCAGAATTGTGTTGCACCCAGTCAAAGAGTGATTGACGTCCTTGGCCAACTCTCCTTCCCTCCTTCCTTACGCCTTCCTCCCACCCTCCCTGCCCTCTGCTACTGCGTCACCCCGCAGAGAGAGCGTGCGTGTATTGGGACCCTCAGGGCCCAGCATCCATAAGCGGAGGGGGTGGAGGTCGTTGAGGAGAGCCCAGGGGTCAAAACACTGTGTGCGCAGTTCCGGGACCCCTATCTGGCTGTGCAACCCAAGCACAGACGAACCACTGTTCCTCCTCAAGCTCTCCTTTCATTCCCCCCAGCAACGGGACACTTACGCCGGGATGCAGTGGCAGGGCTCAGGGGTGGGCAGTGGGCGACCTCCTGATTTTAAAGATATAGACAGGCAGTTCTCTATTGTCAAAAGCCTCATAATTCATTTGACGACTTGCACAGGCCATCCTGTCCCCCACAACGCCATCGCTAAAGTTAATGACCCTGGAGGTTTGCTAACGAATAGTCATTTTTGGAATGGGGGGAGTTAGAAGTGGAGTGTTGTGTGGTCACACAGCTGCAGGGTATGACATTGACCCCAATATATAGTAACTGTTTCAGAGTAAAAGTGAAGCCTGGTTAAGATGGGGTACAATACAATGAATCTTTGTTCTACAAGTTTAGTTATCACACATAGAGAAAAACTACTCCATTAAATAAGGGGGATATTTTGTGTTCAGTGTCTTTGATCCCATTGTCCTTTGAATGCCGCACCTTGAGACACCAGTGTTTTCTATTTGATGCTGACAATGTGTTTTATTAATTTTATTTTAAGGGTCAGTCCATCCGAGTGACATTTTCTCACTCACCATAAGTGTTATCGACCTGCACATGGATTCTGTTTTATTTGCCCAGGTTTTGAGATATGCGTCATTGAGATTTGAGCCACCATATCAACACGGTAGTTGTAAACAAAATTTTCCTTTTTGCTGCCTTGTAGTATTAAAAATTATCATTCAAAATATTTTACTCCTTTTCTAAGACAATGAGCAAGTTACTCTAGATCTCAAAAGCCAAGTTTTCACCAAACACTTTTGTTCTAGTACCCTTAGATCCGCTATATAACCCCTACGGACATGTACCTTAGATCTGTCTTGTGTTTCTACCACAGACAGCAGCCTTAAATGTAGGCAGGGTTGTTACCAAATGTTAATGGCTGTGTCACTGCTCCGTCCAGCTCTCGCTGTATTTCCTCTTCACCAGTGACGCAGAGGAATGTCTGCACCTCGCTGATCATCCACAGAACAGGGATGTATGCTGACGTTTTCAGAGCAACAAAGTACAGGCTGGAGTGTTAACTGTCTCTGTTGCAATCGATTAGATATTTAAAAAAAGTGGGTTTGCGCATTAAGTCCTTGTAGAGCAAGAGTGACGATTCTCTTTTGACCAGTCAATGTGCTGCAGTGTTTCTAGCTCCACCTTTTAGTATCGGATCAGTGTGCTAGGTTCCTCAACAGAGAGATGATGAAAAAACGCACAGTATGGAAAGTTGTTGTTGGCACCATCCACACTTTTTGACAGTGGGAACACAAAAATAACCCTTTTAATGTGTAATAAACTGAACTGAAATGGAATTCTTGGTGGCAACGAGGCTATTGTGAACAGTTTCCATTGGAACTACACTCTACTGAAGAAACATCCCCATGAAAACTGTTGACTACATGTTCTGTGCATTATCCAGGGTGACAGGGGAAAGTGATGTTGCTGCTAAATTTTTAAAATGTAATATTTCAATGCTTACCTCGAATGTATTGAGGTGGCGGCAGAAATGTAAGAGACTAATCAAATCTGGACAAACAAAAATGTAATTTAAGTGGACCAAACCTTCAAATTCTTTTCTTTAAGAACCTGCAGGTCATTTTGTGGTACCATTTTCTTTATCTTTACATGATACAGAGTACAAACCACTAACACCTCCCAAGGTTG